ATTTTTAAACCAATTAGTCTGAAATTTCCTGGTCAGCACTGAGGTAATCTACCTAATAAGATCTCTCGCCTATTTACTTGTCAAAATAATCCACTCTTTTAACTTCTTAGTCCCACCCACTTTCTGCCTACAGAACTATTTCATTTTGTTCAAATCAGTTGAACTTTCTAGTTGCCAAATCGGACGCTGCCCAATTTATGGATTGCTTAATAAAGCCAATTAGATCTTCAAATTTACTCTGTTGAATTTTGCTTTCACAACTATAAATTTTTCTCTAAGGGCCAGATAGCTGCATCCCACACATTTGGCTATGTCATATTTTCTTTACTTATCATTGTGTTTAAAATATTTTCCAATTTCTATTGTGATTTTTTTCTTTCACCTATGCATAATCTGACTTCTTGTCTCATTACTTTATCAATACAATCTTCGCTAAGGTCACCAATGATTTGCTTGTGGGTAAATCCATTAGACTTTCGGTTTCATTTTGACCTTTAAGCAGCTGAGGACACTTTTAACTACTTCCTTGAAGTTTGGGCTCTTGGCTCTGCCGCAGAAGAACAAATTTTTCTCTACTCTCAAGGGTCTTCTGGCTGGTCTAATAATCAAATAGACATGAGAAAGATTAGTAAGAAAAAATAACCAAATTTAATAGATACAAAGACCCCACATGCATATGAGGTTCAGAGATAGAAAGGGGGATTAGCACAACCGGTGTGGCTCAGTGGTTGAGCATCAACTTATGAACCGGTCATGGTTCGATTCCCAGTCAGGGCACATGCCCTGGTTGTGAGCTCGATCCCTGTTGGGTATTCAGGAGGCAGTCAATCAATGATTCTCATCATTGATATTTCTATCTCTCTCTCCCTCTCCCTTCCTCTCTGAAATCAATAAAAATATATTTAAAAATATAATAATAATAAAATTAAAAAAAATAAAAGATAGGGGGATTAGCTCTAGCTGGGTTGGCTCAGTGGATAGAGTGTTGGCCAGCAGACTGAAGGGTCCCAGGTTCAATCTAGCTCAATCCCTGGCTCTTGTTGGGGCATGCGGGAGGCAACCAATCAATTGACTCTCTCACATCGATATTTCTCTCTCTCTCTCTCTCTCTCCCTTCCACTCTCTCTAAAAATCAATGGAAAAATATCCTCAGGTAAGATTAACAAAAAAATAAATAATCTATACTAATAAAAGGGTAATATGCTAATTAGACCGGGTCCACCAGACATCTTCCGGTTGTCCTGCCTTCCTTCCGGACAAAGCCATGGTGGTGGGGGCTAAGGTAGAGGCGGTTAGGGATAATCAGGCCAGCAGGGGAAGGCAGTTAGGGTTGATCAGGCAGGCAGGGAGAGGGGTTAGGGTTGATCAGGCAGGCAGGCAGGTGAGCAGTTAGGATCCAGTGATCCCAGATTGCAAGAGGGATGTCCCAGATTGGAGAGGGTGCAGGCCGGGCAGAGGGACCTCCACCCCATGCACGAATTTTGTGCACCAGGCCTCTAGTCTATATATATGCCTAAGTGGCTGTCCGACCATCCGGCCAGTAGCTATGATGCACACTGGCCACCAGGGGACAGGACAGATGCTCAACACAGGAGCTGCCGAACTGTGGTGACTTAGCAGTTGCAGTTCTTGGGTGACACACCTAGAACCAGAGAGCAGGGAACCCGATTCTGGGGTGCATCACCCGAGAACTGCCCTCTCACAATCCAGGATCCCTCAGGGGATGTCTGAGGGCCTATTTCAGCCTGATCCATGTAGGCCAGGCAGAGGGACCCCACTGGTGCACGAATCCGTGCACCAGACCTCTAGTAAATAAATAAAAATTAAAATGCAAACTAGCCCTGGCTGGTGTGGCTCAATTGATTAGGCATTATCTCATGCACCATGAGATTGCTGGTTCCATTCACAGTCAGGGCACATGCCCAAGTTGTGGACTCGATCTCCAGTAGGGGGCAGGGGGTAGCTAATCCATGTTCAGTTATCACATTGATGTTTCTCTCTCTCTCTCTCCCCCTTCCTCTCTCTCTAAAAATCAATTTAAAAATCTTTTTTTAAATGCAAACTAACCTTGGCCAAGTGGTTCAATTGATTGGAGCATGATAGTGTACACCAAAAGGTTGCAGGTTTCATTCCTGGTCAGGAATATACCTAGGTTTTGTGTTTGATCCCCAGTTGGGGTGTGTATGTGAGGCAACTGGTATGTGTTTCTCTGTCATATTTCTCTCTCCCCCCCCCTTCCTTTTTCTGGGGATCAGTAAAAACATATCCTCAGGTGAGAATCTATCCTATCTAATAATAGACAAACATGGTAATTAACCATGCCTCCGCTACACTTCCCATTGGCTAATCAGCAGGATATGCAAATTAACTGCCAACAAAGATGGCGGCCTGCAGCCACGCAGCTGAAGCGAACATGAGGCTTGCTTGCTCCAGTGATGGAGGAAGCCAAGGTTCCTTGCCTGCCATGGCCCAACTCTGAGCTCTGGAAGCAACAATGTTTCAATTATAGAAGCTAAACAAACCCCAGATACCTGCTTTCAGCCAGCTGGGGCCTCAGAGCTTAGAGCGCCAGTGATGGCAACAGAGTTTCAATTATAGAAGGTAAATAAATCCCAGAATTAAAAAAAAAGAAAAAAAGGAGAGCTGGGAGCTTCAGTCGCAGGCTAGCCTGAAAACGGTCCTCAGCCCCTCACCCAGGCTGGCCAGGCACCCCAGTGGGGACCCCCACCCTGAAGGGGGTGTGACCAGCTGCAAACAGCCATCAGCCCCTCACCCAGGCTGGCCAGGCACCCAAGCGGGACCCCACCCTGATCCGGGACACCCTTCAGGGCAAACCAGCTGGCCCCCACCCATGCACCAGGCCTCTATCCTATATAGTAAAAGGGTAATATGCAAACTGACCCTAACAGCAGAAAGACTGGGAATGACTGGTCACTATGACACACACTGACCACCAGGGGGCAGACACTCAATGCAGGAGCTGCCCTCTGGTAGTCAGTGCACTCCCACAGGGGGAACTCTGCTCAGCCACAAGCCAGGCTGATGGCTGCCAGCACAGTGGTGGTGGTGGAAGCCTCTCCCGCTTCCTCGGCAGTGCTAAGGATGTCTGACTGCAGCTTAGGTCTGCTCCCCGCTGGCAAATGGACATCCCCTGAGGGCTGCCGGGCTGCCAGAGGGATGTCTGATTGCCATCTTAGGCCCAATCCCCCAGGGAGCAGGCCTAAGCCAGCAAGTGGTCACCCCCAAGGGGTCCCAGACTGCGAGAGGGCACAGGCCGAGCTGAGGGACCCCCTACCCCCGAGTGCACAAATTTTTGTGCACCAGGCCTCTAGTCTATATATAAAAGGTTAATATGCAAAGTGTCCCCTCGGGAGTTCAACTGGGAGACCAGGAGTTGGATTGCTCGCTATGACATGCCCTGACCATCAGGGGGTGGTGTGGAATGAAGGAAGGCCCCGGCTGGCAGCCAGAAGGAAGGCTCTGGCCAGCAGCCAGAAGGCCCCAATCGGCCCTGAGTGCCGGCCAGGCCTAGGGACCCTACCTGTGCACAAATTTCATGCACCAGGCATCTAGTTTAAAAATTAAAATGCAACCTATGCTCTGGCTGGATAGCTCTGTTGGTTAGAGTGTCACCCCAATATGCCAAGGTTGTGGGTTCGATACCCCATCAGGGCACATACAAGAATCAACCAATGAATGCATAAATGAGTGAAACAACAAACTGATGTTTCTCTCTCTCCCTTCCTCTCTCTCAAATTAATAAATTAAAAAGTGTTAAAAATGCAACCTACTTAAATATTAATTTTGTATCTTGCTACTTTACTGACTTCATTGATCAGTTATAGTAGGATATGCAGTGTTCTCTATATATTAGTATAGTATCATGTCTTCTGCAAATAATAAATTTTACTTCTTCCTTTCCAATTTGGATGCCTTTTATTTCTTTTCTTGTCTGGTTGCTGTGATTAGATTTTGAATGCTATGTTGAACATGGACAACTCTGTGTTGTTCCTGATCTTAACAAAAATGCTGTTAGCTGTGGGTTTGTCACATATGGCCTTTATTGTGTTGAGGTACATTCCCTCTACTTCCCCATCATAAATAAATGCTGGATTTTGTAAAATGTTTTTTCTGCATCTATTGATATGATCATATGACATTTATCACTCATTTTGTTTATTGTTTATGTGGTGTATCATGTTAATTGATTTGTGGATTTTGAACCAACCTTGCATCCCAGGAAATAGTGTATAATCTTTTAAGTGTATTGCTGAATTCGGATTGCTAGGTAGAGTAGCCTTGGTTGTAGATCCTTGCTTTAATCACTTTGAATATTTCATGCCAATCCCTTTTAGTCTGAAATGTTTTTGTTGAGAAATCAGCTGACATTTTTATGGGAGCCCCCTTGTCGGTAACTAACTGCTTTTCTCTTGCTGCTAGAGTCTATTCGTGTTTAACCTTTGCCATTTTGTTTTTTTAATATATATTTATTGATTTCAGAGAGGAAAGGAGCGGGAGGGAGAGCGAGAGCTATCGGCTGCCTCCTGCAAGCCCCCCAGTGGGGATCGAGCCCACAATCCAGGCATGTGCCCTTGACCGGAATCGAACCTGGGACCCTTCAGTCCTCAGGCCAACGCGCCATCTACTGAGCCAAACGAGCCAGGTCTCTCTTTGCTGTTTTAACACCCGGTTTTCAGTGGAGGAGAAGTACTATGTCCTCCACTCAGAAGAGGAAGACGCTGCTCTTGCTGTTCTACTTAAAGAAGACCCAGCCCGGCTGACGCCAGCGGTCCCGCGCCTGGCACTCAGCCCGCCTCCCGCGGGGTCACCGCCGATTAGCTCTGGCGCGGGCGGAGGGCAGCGGGGCCGCCGCGGGCAGCGGGAGTGATAGGCTGCTGCAGACCCATCCCCCTCGCCGATTGGTGGGGCAGCGCAGCCGGATTGGCGGAGCCCATAGGGCGGGCTCATCTCCGCTCGGCTCGGCTCGGTGCGCTGCGGAGATGGCGACTACGGCGTGGCTGCTGGGGCTGCGTGCGGGGAGCTGGAGGCTGCAGGCGCCGCTGTCGCCGCTGGCCCGCGTCGTTTCCCGGCGGGCCCACTCGCTGCTGGCGGTGGACGATGCGATCAACGGGCTGACTGAGGAGCAGAAGCAGGTAGGGAGCCTGACCCTCCTCCCGGCCCCTAGGCCTCCCGGCCTGGCCCCAGCTGCCCGCTTCGGGGTCGCCTTGGCGCTCGCCTGCCCACCTGCCACCCGTGCGCCCGGCTGCGGGAGGGAGATGCGGGGGCAAGCAGGACAGCCGCTGGAACGGAGCGTGTTCTGGTGGCGGTCTGGCAGGGGCCACCGGTGCGTGGCAAGGGGGCCTCGGCCCGCCTGAAGCCCGCTCACACTGAGGGAAGGCCAAGGTTAATCATTATCCCCGAGAAATCGCTTTCCAACACACACCCCGGGGGCTTTGAAAGGCGGTGGAATCTCACCCACAGAGGCAGAGCACAAAGTACTTGAAAGATGTCATTACAACTGGAGCTGAGGCAGAGCCCTTCCAGGAGGGAGGAGACTTCACTTGGCACGGTTCCCCTGGCAGGTGATTTTCCTGTGGCAACAGCGGGCATGTGCCAGTGTCCCGGAACTCCAAGCCCACTCGGGCTCACAGACAGCAGGCGGAGCTTTCAATCACGCCGGAACTAGAAAGCAGTTCTAGTTCTCAAACTTTCCTGCCAAGAGGAGTTTCTAATCTCGTTGAGTAATCCCTTTGAGAAAAAGGGCAGAAAAGAGCTGACAGGTGCTTACAACGGTGGCCGGGTGGGAGGGGAGGGGGACTGGAGAAGGCTGGAAGGGCAGGGTTGATAGGGTCAGTTCATGCAGGGCCTCGGCCTTCTAAGTACGAAGGAAAGCCATGGAATGATTTTATGTAGGGGAGTGACATTTAAAAAAGAATCATGAAGCTGTCTAGACTGAGGACCTCAAGAAAGAGGGGCGAAGATGATCTCTGAGGAAGCATAAACTAGGGGTCTCTTAGGTTTCCGTCTGATGCCGTTTGGGGAGGTGTCGTGGAGCTTGTTCCCCCGAATGTGTCCTCAGCAGTGGAGACGCCGTCTGCAGTGGCAATAATGTTAAAGAGGCATCTGTGCACCTCTCTCCCTCTAGCTTCGTCACACCCTCTCTAAGTTCCTGCAGGAGCACCTAGCCCCCCAGGCCCAGGAGATTGATCGAAGCAATGAATTCAAGAACTTTCGAGTGAGTCCTGAGGTCCACACTGGGGGTGCAGGGGGCCAGTCTGGGAGCTGGGGGGTGCTGGGAGTTACACTGCAGCCTGGAAGAACTCATACAGTCTTCTGGTAAATGAAACCTCCTTAAAAATGCAGCCCCTTTCTGTGAAGGGTTTAGGTCTCCTTGTTCCAGGTGCCCAGGCATCTGTGACTGGCTGCCTTCTCACCACCCACTGTGCTCTCTCCATTCTGTTGGCAGGAGTTTTGGAAGCAGCTGGGGAAACTGGGAGTCCTGGGCATCACAGCCCCTGGTGAGTATCGTTTCATTCCCTAAAGAGAACTTTTCTTGCATGCCCTTTAACACCAGAACTAAAAGAAGCAGGAAAGGAATGAAAAGACTGTGCTCAAAGAAAGAAAAAAAAAAGGATTGTGCTTAAAGAAACCCAGAACCTCTTCCCCCTTTGTCCTAGGAAAGCTTGCATTGACTGTCAGCCCTTCTATTTTCTTAGGCAGTGACGTTGAGATGACAAAGGGATTAGGCCAGTGTGATTCACTTGGGTCAGGATTACTTGGACTCTTTTTTTTTTCTTTTTTCTTTTTTTTTGGACTTAAAACAAAAGAAGTTTATTCTCTTATATAAGGTTCTGGAAGCTGGAAGTCTGAAACCAGTGGAGCTGTGCTCCCTGCAGACTGTAGGGGAGAGTTCGTTCCTTGCTGCTTCAGGCAACTGTCTGGGTGTTTCCAGGCTTTAGGTTACATCATTCCAATCTCTGCTCCCACCTTCCCATGGCCACTGCCTCTACTTGGACTCTTGAAGTCTGCATGCTGAATAAGCTCCCCCGGGTGATATTAGCAGCCTAGTCCCTTAGTCTAGTCCAGGGGTGGGCAAACTTTTTGACTCGAGGGCCACAATGGGTTCTTAAACTGGACCGGAGGGCCGGAACAAAAGCATGGATGGAGTGTTTGTGTGAACTAATATAAATTCAAAGTAAACATCATTACATAAAAGGATACAGTCTTTTTTTTTTTTTTTTAGTTTTATTCATTTCAAACCTGCCGGATCCGGCCTGCGGGCCATAGTTTGCCCACGGCTGGTCTAGTCCCTAAGCTCTTAACTCTTCTACCAATAACATCTAGGCACGCAGCTTGGTCCTGGGGCTCATTTGGAAACAGATGAAGTTGTGGAGGAATGCTGAGCCTCCACATGAGGTGGCCAGATGACGTGTTAAATACACTGTCCCTGGGCCTGCCCTGTGCCCCCTGTGGGTCTTACTACTTGTTTCCAGGGATAAGGGCAGGGAGCTGGTGGTCTCTGATTTGGATGTTGGCCTCTGAAGGAGAGTCCCAGTCTGGCTTGCAATGCCCAATAAATAGATGAGACTGTGGCCTCGCCAGCTAAAGCCTGGATGGCACAGCCTGCCTTGGCTTGTATTCCTTGGGCATTGGAATGGGGGTGGAAAACAATATACTTCTCCTTACATCTCCCCCTCAGCCCCTTGGAGACAGTTCTTGGTTTTGAGCTGAACATAGAAAGTTAGATCATGAGTAATGATAAAATGAAACAACTTAAAAATTAATTTAGACCACCTTCATGGGAAATAGGGGGAAGGCCACTGGAAACTCCTAAACAAGACTTTCTTCTTCCATGTCTTGGGGGTTTATGAACCCCATAAAGAATATGTCTCTGAACCAGATGGTATTTTAATGGAAGAAGAAGGTAGTTAGAAATCAGAAACTTGCCGAAACCGGTTTGGCTCAGTGGATAGAGCGTCGGCCTGCGGACTGAAGGGTCCCAGGTTCGATTCCGGTCGAGGGCATGTACCTGGGTTGCGGGCACATCCCCAGTAGGAGATGTGCAGGAGGCAGCTGACCAATGTTTCTCTCTCATCGATGTTTCTAACTCTCTATCTCTCTCCCTTCCTCTCTGTAAAGGAATCAATAAAATATATTTAAAAAAAAAAAAAAAAAGAAATCAGAAACTTGAAAGGAAGCCAGATATAAGTTCTGTTTTCTGCCTGATTGTTCCGGTGGCTTTTTCCAGTGTCACCACCTGAGGGCTTTCCTTCCGGAATTGCAGGGGGCGGGCCAGCCTTTCCGGAGAGCCTTGGATGAGCCTGACTTCTTGGTCAAGAGTGAACACATGCAGAGAATCTCACCAGGGTTTACCCAAATTGCAGGGCAGCGGTTGGTACCAGTGGACCCAGCCACTTTTATTATAATTGTTATTGATTTCAGAGAGGAAGGGAGAGGGGGAGAGAGAGAGAGAAACATCAGTGATGAGAGAGAATCATTGATCAGCTACCTCCTGCACACCCCGTACTGAGGATCGAGCCCGAAACTAGGCATGTGCCCTTGACTAGAATCAAACCCGGGACCCTTCAGTCCGCAGGCCAACGCTCTATCCACTGAGCCAGCCATTTTGATTTAGGCCCTCCTGCCAAGGAAAAGGCACATTTTTATGAAGAGTTCCGAAATTCCCTAACCAGCATCTCGACTGCGCTGCCCACCAGATTTTCTCTCAGGCTGTGGCTCGCCTGTTCCTGTTACTAATCTTGCTTTTTTTTCTTTTTTTAACTGTTTTCATTAAGATATAACTGACGCGTAACCTTATGTATGTTTAAGGTGTACAATTTGTTTATGTGATAGTCCTGTTTCTTTAGGTCCAAACCTCTGCTCTGCACACCTCACTTGCCTCAGGCTTTTTACACAAACATCTGTCTTGCACTTCAGGTTCTCCTGCCTTCATTAAGAGGTCTGTCTGGGATAAAGTGGGGGTTGCAATGGCTGTTTTCTGAACCACCTCAGCTGACAGAGGCAGCAAACAGAACAGGTTCTGTGTGTATGTAGACAGACTCCATGGCATGAACCTGTTGACTCTGTCAGCAAGAACTTGGAATAGGTGCTACAGGGATGTTTCTCTGCTGCCAATAACTGTTAGGATCCTGTCAGTGTCCTGGGTTAATCTGAGCTGCCTTTTCTGTTCCCCCGCACAACCTCTACTCCCAGCCCAGTATGGCGGCTCTGGCATGGGCTACCTGGAACATGTGCTGGTGATGGAGGAAATATCCCGAGCTTCTGGAGCCGTGGGACTCAGTTACGGTGCCCACTCCAATCTCTGCATCAATCAGATTGTGCGCAATGGCAATGAGGCCCAGAAGGAGAAGTACCTCCCCAAGGTGAGGCAATGGGAATGGAGAAACACACCCTGATCTCGGTGCAGCCACCCAACACGAGGCACCCTCCCTGTGGTCGAGGGCTGGTCAGATTTGCTTTCCGCCGCACGCTGCCCTGAACCAGATACAGCTAGGAAGGGGTCAGGTTTTTGCTTTCAAATACTTAAGTCAAAAACATTAAAACTACAGCCAGACCTTCCGAGTTCATCACTGGGCAGCATTTGCAGGGAGCGCTCTCAGAAGCTGAAGACTAGGACTTGCTTCTGTGCAAAGGGACTAGGAAAAGGAGAGAGATTTCCAGCCTTGTACATACTGCGCTTCTTTTGTAAGACTTTACCAATCGCCTGATCTTTGAGAGAAGTGTGAAGGGGCGTCATGCAAACAGGCAGGAAGTATCTCAGCTCCTGTAGGTACTTCTAAAGTCATAACCAGGCCCTTTGGGGTTTCCCTTGCAGCTGATCAGTGGGGAGTACGTCGGAGCCCTGGCCATGAGTGAGCCCAATGCTGGCTCTGACGTTGTCTCCATGAAGCTAAAAGCTGAAAAGAAAGGTGAGGCCTCTTTCGACTTGGGAGCTGAAAAGGCAGAGGGACAATCATTGGGGTGGCCTCTGCTAGATTTCCAGAACTATTTCCGGCCGGGCAGCTTCCTGCTTAGCAGTCTGTGGACTGACTGGCTGAGATGGGCCAACATGGCTGGTGTTAAGTAGCCAAATTCCTGTCCTTAGGAGATCACTACGTCCTGAATGGCAACAAGTTCTGGATCACCAATGGCCCTGATGCCGACGTCCTTGTTGTCTATGCCAAGACCGACCTGGCTGCTGTGCCCGCTTCTCGGGGCATCACCGCCTTCATCGTGGAGAAGGTGAATGGAGGGGGGTGCAGGTGGGAGGCCTTTGTCTCCGGACAGCGATGCCAGAGAGAGATCCCTTCCCCTGATGGCAAACACGAGCGATCCTGTGTGCCCTGCCAAGGCTCCCCGGGGTGGGGTGAAGAGCAGACTGAAAGGCAGGGGACATCAGGGAGGCTGCGCCAAGTCTGAGATTGGTGGAGCCGCCCACCGAGCCAGGCCACACACAGGGGCAGGATGATGAGGACTGAGGAGAACTGGATTTGACAATGAAGGTGTCATCAGGGGGCTGCTGAGAGCAGCTGTGGAAGACTGAAGTGGAAGTGTGAATGGGAATGCGAGTGGAGACGGGATGAAGACTGCGCCTTTCAGATCTTTTCTTTTTATATATATTTTTATTGATTTCAGAGAGGAAGGGAGAGGGAGCGATAGAAACATCAATGATGAGAGAGAATCATTGATTGGCTGCCTCCTGCATGCCCCCTACTGGGGATCAAGCCTGCAACCTGGGCATGTGCCCTTGACTGGAATCGAACCCAGGACCCTTTGGTCCACAGACGGACACTCTATCTACTGAGCCAAACCGGCTAGGGCCAGATCTTGAAAATAAAAGCAAGAGGGAGATGGGGCAGAAGGTAGAATGAAAAGTTGGGAGTTTGGCCCTAGCCAAACTGGTTAGAGCGCCACTTCCGGTCAAGGGCACATACCTCGATTGCAGGCTTGATCCAGGAGGCAACCAGTCAGTGTGTCTCTTTCATATCAATGTTTCTCTCTCTCTGTCTCTCCCCCTCCCTTCCATTCTCTCTAAAAAAAGTCAATGGAAAAAAATATCCTCTGGTGAGGATTAACAACAACAACAAAAGTTGGGAGTTTGAGTTTGTTTTTAAGAATGGGAGAGATGCCCGACCGGTTTGGCTCAGTGGATAGAGCTTCAGCCTGCGGGCTCAAGGGTCCCAGGTTCGATTCCAGTCAAGGGCATGTACCTTGGTTGCGGGCACATCCCCAGTAGGGGGTGTGCAGGAGGCAACTGAACAATGTTTCTCTCTCATCGATGTTTCTAACTCTTGATCCCTCTCCCTTCCTCTCTGTAAAAAATCAATAAAATATATTTTTTTAAAAAAAGAATGGGAGAGAGCCCTGACCGGTTTGGCTCAGTGGATAGAGCGTTGGCCTGCGGACTGAAGGGTCCCAGGTTCAATTCCGGTTGCAGGCACAGCCCCAGTAGGGGGTGTGCAGGAGACAGTTGATCAATGTTTCTAACTCTCTATCCCTCTTCCTTCCTTCCTTTTATTGATAAAAAATCAATAAAATATTTTTTAAAAAGAATGGGAGAGAACTGAGCAAATTTTTTGATAAAGAGAAAGAAATTCAGGAGAGGGAGAACTTGAGATGTGTCTGAGCAAGTGAGCAAAACACAATGGAGAGCTGAGGAAGAAGAGGTAAGGCTGGTACACGTGATGGGGGAGGAAGATGTGCCTGGTGGCCTTGAGGTGGAAAGCCGGGGCATCTGTGAGGGCTGGGGACCACAGGGATGAGGGACTTGGTAGTGTCTTAAGGGTGTGCAATACCCTCCCTAGGGAGAGGGGGAAAGTGGCTGGCTAGGATTGGAGGATGAGAATTGAGTAGCCCAAAGGGCTTGGCTAAGATAGGAAATCTCAAGGTTGTATAACGCCACTCAGCAGCCGGGACGTTAGGGAAGCAAAACGTGCGCTCAGAGCACTTGCCCATGCACAGTGCATCTGATTAGCCTAGGCCCATGGTTGGCAAACTGCGGCTCTCGAGCCACATGCGGCTCTCGAGCCACATGCGGCTCTTTGGCCCCTTGAGTGTGGCTCTTCCTAAGCCTTAGGAGCACCCTAATTAAGTTAATAACAATGTACCTACCTATATAGTTTAAGTTTAAAAAATTTGGCTCTCAAAAGAAATTTCAATCGTTGTACTGTTGATATTTGGCTCTGTTGACATGAGTTTGCCGACCACTGGTCCAGGCCAAAGCACACAGGTGGTTGAATTGATCCCAGCTGTGATTCAATTAGGTACAGATGGCAGAGGAACAAAGGGCCAAAGGAATTGCATGGGCCCCTGAGAATATCTTGGAAATTATTTCCCTAAGGAAAGGAAACAAAGCTAAGAAGGGTCAACCGGGCCCTAGGGATCAGGCGTTTGAGAAAGAAGTGCCCCCGTGAGAAGTGGGGAGAGCGCAAGCTAGCGGCAGAGAAGGCTAAGGTCTGGTGGGGTGTTAGGGCTGGAGCTTCCAGGAGTGGACCAGTGCAGGGTGGGCCCTGGGATCGGAATGCTGGTGTGCCGTGGGAGTACTGGGACTGGGTGGGAAGGTGGGCTTTTTGCAAGGGTCTTCCCTTTACTAGACCCTGTTGGGCCTGGTCTGTACTCAAGGCCACCTTTTGTTTCTGTGAAGAGCATGCCTGGCTTCAGCACCGCCAAGAAGTTGGACAAGCTGGGGATGAGGGGTTCTAACACCTGTGAGCTAATCTTTGAAGACTGCAAGGTTCCTGGTGAGTCTAAGAAAGGGTGAGCCCCTGTGCTGACCCCTTCATAAGCTGAGAAAGCCCATCTCTGGGTTAGAGAGGCTCCCATTGTTAGCTTACCAATGACTGTGGCTGACCCACGGGCCCGTACGTGTGGGACTCTGGGGCTGAGGGGCCGCTGTTTTCCCTGTGTGCCTGTTTCCTATGTGGATAGCACACTGTGTCTGGGTTGGATTCCAGTATCTGGAATAGAAAGATAAGATCCGCTCTGGCCCACTAACGTCCTTCAGACGTCCTTGTTTGCACGTTTCCCAGTACAGCCTGTGTGAGGTGTTCATTAACAATGCTAAAACACCATCCAAGTACACTGATGGAAGCCGGACTCAGTGAAGGGAAGGCATCAGTTTGGGCATTTTCTCCCCTGAAGTGTAACTGAAAATGTGACACGTTGTGGGAGATCCAGCACACCCTTCATGTGCTAATGAGACCAAAGACATAGATTTGATCACCGACTAGGTTTACTCTGCACCTCAGCCACAGACCACGCCTCCCCCTCATGATCCACCACCCAAGAAAAGTATGCTTTGGTTACAAAGAGCATCAAGGGAGTGGGGGATCCGTGCAGATCCTCCTTCGTAAGCAGGAAAGCACTCGGGGGTCACCCAAGGTCCCGGCTTCCGCGGTGGAGAGGGGCTCAGCAGTTTTTGACACCAGTGTGGACTGGCCCATCTCCTGAACGATGACTATTCCATGGACACTCTTGGAGGGGAGGGAACGGGCGATATTGGACCAGAGCAGGCTCAACCTGAGGGAAAGGGTAATTACGGACACAGGCGTGAAAATACTAGGAAGGGTTTGGGTGACTTCTAGACCAAATTGGCTTTTCTTCTTCCCATCCGAAGCAGTGGAGGAGGAAAAGACCTAAGAGTCGGGCCTTTGTGTCTGATCCTGTGGATCGTGTGTGTATGGGGGCGGGGATGTCTGTCTGGCAAGCTCTACTTCTGACAGGGAGTGGTAAACTCCATCCTTTTCTCTCATCCAGAATCTCCCTCGTTGAAGGTCAGGTGACATATTTTAGTGCCTGGTATGAGAGCCATGGTACCAAACCTAGTAGCTCTTATAAAGGGAGAAGTCTGTGGGTGATGGACAGCCCTCTTCCCTCTGACCAGCACTTTTCCCAGCAGCTGAGAACATCTTGGGCCATCTAAGTAAGGGCGTCTACGTGCTGATGAGTGGGCTGGACCTGGAGCGGCTGGTGCTGGCTGGTGGGCCCCTTGGGTGAGTGTGAGGCTCAGGGTGGGGGTGGGGGAGCTGGGCTCTTAGCTTCCCCGGCAAGCAGTGCCCTGGCAAACAGCAGCCACAGCCACAGTCTTCTCCTCCTGGCCGATGCACCTTATTTCCTGGAAATGAAAACAACCTCCAATTCCCATGTGTTATTTCTTCACACTGAAGGTAAAGAACATTCTTTGAAAGACAAAATGCCTGAGGAGCAATACCGCTTGGTCACCTGAGATGTGAAACAGGACACCCAGGCTTTTCTCCTCTCTAGAACTCCAGCTCTTTGTCTCACTGAGCTGTCCCCTCCCGCCCCCCAAGCCTTTTCACACTGGCATTTTGCCACCCCAGCTGGCAGCAGGGGGACAGTGTCTTTGTCCTCCCCACAGGATCATGCAGGCCGTCCTGGACCACACCATTCCCTACCTGCACGTGAGGGAAGCCTTTGGCCAGAAGATTGGCCACTTCCAGGTGAGTGGAATGCTTTGCCGACATGTCCTCTTTCATTGGGTTCAAGTTTTCCTTCACAAATGAGAACGCGGAGCATGTGCTGTGGGCATCTGTCCCCCTCCCCAGCAGAGTGAGTTTGAATGCTTGGGGGGCAGGCTTCGTCAGCGTGCCACCTGGCTTGGGAGGTGGTCGGGAAGTTCACACGTCTCCTCGCTTCTCGTTTGAGATGAATGAACTAGGCATTGTGAGGGTGAGGCGTGGGGTACGGGGGGTGGCGTTTCTAGTCACCCTTTCTGGTGTGAAAGACGCTGCAGGATGTGAATGAGGGTGGTGGTGGGTGGAGGGCCACTTCAGGGAGCAGCAGCAGCCCTCTACCCTCTCTGTCACCCTAGGCAAGTCCTGTCCGCTTCCTGTGCCCTGATGTTGCCATTCTGGCTGTCAAGTTGCTGCTGCCGAGCTGCTTTTGGTAACTAGGGAGAGTATCTAAGAGGAAAGTTGACGTGTGACCTCCCTTTGTGCCCAGCTGATGCAGGGGAAGATGGCCGACATGTACACCCGCCTCATGGCATGTCGGCAGTACGTCTACAACGTTGCCAAGGCCTGCGACGAGGGCCACTGCACCGCCAAGGTAAGGGCGGGCCTGCCCAGAAGGAGGCGGCGGGCGGGTTGCTGGGACTCGCTCTCTGTGTGGCCTGGCGGGGCCTGCTGACCGGGGCCTCCTCCCACAGGACTGCGCGGGTGTGATTCTTTACTCCGCTGAGTGTGCCACACAGGTGGCCCTGGATGGCATCCAGTGTTTCGGTGAGTGGCCCCCCTCCCCACTCCCCTTCCCAGGGCTTGCCTGTGGCTGCCTCCAGAAAGAGGTGTCCTCCTCACCCCTCACTCTGAGCTTCAGCTAGCTGCAGCCGAGCCGGTGCTATTCGGCTGCTTCTGCCCCAGTTATTACGAGAACATGGAAAAGCAAATGAGGAAACTGCTGGAGGCAGCAGGCCCCGCTCACGCCTAGTCCTGCGGACACCGGGAAGTGGAGAGAGATGCCTCAGAGGGGGGTGGACAGCCTGGTTTCAAAGCTGCACAGTGGTTAAGAGCACAGATTCGAGCCAGATGGCCTAGGTTTGAGTCTTGGTTTTACCACGGACCAGCTTTGTGACTTGTGCAAATTACTTCACTTCTCTGAACCTGGCACCCCGTAAATGCTATGCAGTATCGCCTGATCCCCCTTCTCCATGTCCACCAGCGGTCCTCTTGCCCGCCTGCTGTCCTCTGCCCTCTGGGTGGCCTCCCGGCCCCTTGTCCACTGTCCTCCCAAGTAAGGTATTCCCCACACCCGCCCTCTCACCGGCTTTTGCTGGTTCTCCTAAATCAGTCTCTCCTCCTCTGGCCTGTTTCTGTATCCTTGGCCTTCTGTTTGCTTCTCTTGCTTTGCCCACTTCCCATCACTTTTCCTACTGTCCTTTCTTCTCTGCCCACACCCTGGCTACAGGCGGCAACGGCTACATCAATGACTTTCCCATGGGCCGCTTTCTGCGAGATGCCAAGCTGTATGAGATCGGGGCCGGGACCAGTGAGGTGAGGCGGCTGGTCATCGGCAGAGCCTTCAACACGGACTTCCACTAACGCCAAGACCTGCACCCTCTTCCCAGCACCTCGAGGCCTTTCTTTGGAAGTAGAGTTGTGGCAGCTCTCGTCCCCTGCCTGAGGCAGTTCCTGGGGCTTGGCTGCCCTTGCACTCGCCTGCTGGCCTCTGCAACGAGGTTGCGTCCTCTACAATGGCAGCCAAGCACTGGCCGCGGAGCCAGGCCAGCCAGCCTAGGAAGTGTTCAGTGGCTTAAAATGGGCTCGACAGGAAGCACAGTGGCTTTTCTGGGCTACGGGGATGGGCTTTGGTGACGGGCCTTGCTCTCTAAATTCCAAGCCTGACGCACCCACCTCCCACGGTGGTCACATGGGGGCAGGCAGGCAGTCACCTCCTTTTGGGGGGTGAGCCTTGGCAGGGAGCCCTCTGCTCATTTACTTGAACCTGGTGGCTTTTCCAGGGGGAAAACCCCCAAAACCTAGCCTTTCTTTCTGCTGATTTCCAGAGGCATCAGCCCCTCGCAGCTTGTGAGCAGGCACCCACTCTTCACAGCCCTGCATCCTTCCAGGGGCTTCACTCTTTAGGGCTGAAATCCCCCACTCAGGGGTGGAGCTCTGGGAACAGGCATCTCAGAACATGTGCCATGTAGACCAGCGGTCACCAACCGGTGGTCCGCGAGGTCCGAAAGGTTGGTGACCGCTGGTTTAAGGAAACCTTTGGAGCAGCGGTCGCCAACCGGTGGTCCGCAGACCACTGGTGGTCTGTGAGGTCCGAAAGGTTGGCGACCGCTGATCTAGACTCTGCGGTGGGGTAGAGGTCAGCATGCTTGTAAAGGATCAGCACCTCTGAGCCCTTCAGCACTGCTGGGCCACCACCACCATCGTCCTGGCCATGTGACAGCCCGCAGCTGACCGGGCAGCAGGCCTGCGTTGGCTGGCTCCACTCCAGCGAGGGCTGCCTGTGTACATTTCTCTGGACACCCTACGGCTAATTCTGTTACAACTGCACAGCGGCTGCTGCCATTTTATATTAAACGTTACGAAGCAGACCCATCTGCTTCTACTCTGGTGTTTTTGGGGAGAAGCTATTGGCTTGCCTCCTGTCTGGCTCCAGCCCCGTGGAGAGTGACTGGTCTGGATCCTGCCCTCTAGTCTGCTCATTGAAAGGGGGACACCGGCGTGAAATCAGCCCTTAGAAGAGAAGAAGTCTCAGCCTCTCTTTTCCAGATCCCCAGAGATTTTATAAAGGCAGTTGGAAGCCAGAGTAGCAAGAGCCGTGGAGCTAGAAGGAAGCTCATAAATTTTTGGAAACCATCCCCATGGTTTGTTTGTTTATTTGTTTGTTTGTTAGTCCTCACCCAAGGATACTTTTTTCATTAATTTTTTTAGAGAAAGTGGAGGGGAGAGAGGTGAGGGAGAGTGAAACATTGATGAAAAAGAGACACATCTATTGGTTGCCTCCTGCATGCACCTGTCCAGGGCCAAGGGGTGAGCCCTTGAGCAGACCGGAACCCAGGACCCTTCAGTTCGAGGGCCAACCCTCTAACCCAGCCGTGGGCAAACTACGGCCCGCGGGCCGGATCCGGCCCGTTCAGCTGTTCTATCCGGCCTGCAGAGCCGAAAGAGCGGAGGGTTCTCTTGCTCTCCCCTCCGCTCCTTCACCAGCAGCAGTGTTAACATGTATTAGTTCACACAAACACTCCATCCATGCTTTTGTTCCGGCCCTCCGGTCCAGTTTAAGAACCCATTGTGGCCCTCGAGTCAAAAAGTTTGCCCACCTCTGCTCTAACCACTGAGCAAAACTGGCTAGGGCCATCCCCATGTTTTTTAAAAGAGTAAGACAGTTTGATTTTTCCCAAGGTCAGAACTGGAAATCCAGAATCCAGAGCAACAGAAATGGGCATTCTGAAAATGCCATCATGGGCCCCCACTGCACAGCTGCCTGGATGGAGCACAGAGGGGAACAGGTTAGGCTGTTCCATTCCATCCAGGTTCCCTAGAAGAGAGCAGTGGTTTTCTGGGTTCTCAGTCCAGTGATGCCCCTTTTGACTTTTGGTCCTGGCCTGTAGCCAAGTGCTGTTCCATACCTACCCCAGCCCGTTCCAGCCTCAGGGAGATATCCTGGGCTCGTGGCACTGCCCCCTCACTTCCCCCCTCGGCCTCTAGTTGTGTTGATGAATGTGGCTAAAATGGTGGTCTCACTGGGTTTAGTGTGTAGCTGGAACAACCAGCCTGGAGACATTCACAGTGTGACAGAATGGGATGTTTCGTCCAGTCAAGATGGGTTACAAACCTTGCCACCAACTTGGGAAGAAAGCGATCGTTCTCATAACACCAAAAAACTGTGTAGCTTGAGTGAGTCATGAATGGAAGAGCAGGGGCCCTTCCACTTTGGTTCTTGTGGGAGTCCTTGCTTGTTTACATGCACTGTGGAACTCTGCGGCCTCGGGGCGGCCAGCCCTCCTCCTTCCTGGGGCTGCCTCTAATTCCACTCCAATTGTAAGCCAGTCACATTATCAGCCCAAGCTCCCCTGTTGACTACCATCCCTGCTTTCCCACTGCTTGCCCTGTGGGATGGTAGAAGCTAAGGGAATGGTTCTCCAAGTGTGGTCTGGGCACACCTGTTGTGAGAGCTTGGCAATCTGTAAAACAATAAAATGCAGATTCCTGGATGGGCTCCAGACCTAATCACATCTCCAGGGGTAATTCTGAGAGGCACAGGCCACCTTTCAGAACAACTGGTCTATCTGGGGCTGTAGCTACAGGACGCTTCCCAGAGGCCTGAGTCCTAATTCTAAACCCATATAACCTAGTAATGGCAATACCTTACCTATGCAGCCCTCTCAACTCTCGTTTTGACATATTAATTCCTTGATCTTCCTGACAATCCGGTTGTGAAGACAAGGTTGCACACGGGGGTGGGGGTGGGGGTCGGTGGAGGTGGAGGTGGAAGAGAGTATAAGGGAAAAATAAATCAATTAAAGGTTGCACAAGAGCCCCATTCCAAGAGACGGGTAAGGTGAGTGGCCCAGGGGCACGCGAACAAATCGGAGTTGAGCCAGCCCCGCCCGGACGCTGGGTGGACCCAGAGCTGGTGTCAACACAGCGTGGAGGGGGCGCTCAGTTCACATCCTGCCCCGCGGAGCCCGGACTCATGACCCAGGTGGCTGTTCGTCGTGACCCCCCAGTTTAAGGTAGGTTTAGGGCCCTCGTCTGCCCCTCTCCCCGGAGGGACCGCGCGCCCAGAAACGCGGCTCTGGCTCTCGGGTTCGGCGCGGCTCCGCGGGCCGTGCGTGGGGCTCGCCTGACCCCTGCCGGCCGGCCGCGGGGTCGCAGGCGCGCAGAACCCTGCGCTCAGCCTTTGGTCGGTGCTGTGCACGGCTCGGCTCAGTGAGAACAGGGGAGAAAAGGCTGCTGTCTTTGTGTCTTTTCCTACAAGAAAGTCCACTGTTAGCAATTAAAAGAAAGGACTTAAACTCAGAACAAAGGCCAGTGGTGCTTTTTATAATTTTGTATGTTTTATGAGTTTTTAAATATGATCGTTTAAAAGGCTTATTTTAGCCATAACCCGTTTGGCTCAGTGGATAGAGCGTCAGCCTGCGGACTGAAAGGTCCCAGGTTGGATTCCGGTCAAGGGCATGTACCTTGGTTGCGGACACATGCCCAGTAGGGGTTGTGCAGGAGGCAGCTGATGGATGTTTCTCTCTCATCGATGTTTCTAACTATCCCTCTCCCTTCCTCTCTGTAAAAAATCAATAAAATATATGTTTTAAAAAAAGGCTTATTTTAAAACCCTTTAAATTAAAAATAAAATCCTTGTCTCCAATGCCTCATCCCTCACCCCCCCCCCACCAAAAAACAAACAAAACAAAAAAAAAAACGCTCACCACTTTTGAATCTTTAAGAGATTTATTTTGGTAATTCACTTAATGCCTGTAAGTGATATGCATATTGATTTAATTGCAGACACTTCTAAGGATGGTTCTTTAAAGAGCATACATTTGGCTTATAAGAAGCTCATTACATGCCCATATTTTCCTCACTTTCTCAGACCAGTCCTGTCCACAAGCCAGAATTTGGGAGCCCTGGGACCAGATGGTGCAGCGTCCCATCCACATGCCTGGCTGTCCTCTGACTCTGCCCATACTTAATGCTCCCCAGTTCCCAGAGCCACACTTGTTCCAGGTGGGAGCCCGCCTCTCCCTGTGTGCTCTGCCTGGTCACTCCAGCAGAGAGCTGTTTGCGAAGCTGGCCTTTCTCACCATCCACCCTCTCAGCTAGCCTGTCTAAATATTTCTTGGATCCACAATAGTCTGACAACTTGCCTTCCTTCTTCCAATCCATGCCTCTCAACCCTTCCTCTATACTAAGGGTCCTCAAACTTTTTAAACAGGGGGCCAGTTCACTGTCCCTCAGACCGTTGGAGGGCCGGACTATAGTTTTAAAAAAAACTTTGAACAAATTCCTATGCACACAGCGGCGGCAAAAACATCCGGCGGGCCGGATAAATGTTTTCAGCGGGCCACATGTGGCCCGCGGGCCGTAGTTTGAGGACCCCTGCTCTATACTGAGCCAGAGTGAACTACCAAGCTCCCCCTAAACACTTCAGGGGCTCCCAGCACCTGTAAGATTCAAGATCTGGCAAGGCAAATAGGACCCTGATCTGGCCCAGTCTCCGCCTCCTGTGGCTCCTCTCCCCATGCCCGTGAGGACTTGGGTTCAGCTGCAGATAGTACCTAAGGTGCTGCTTCTTACTCCTGTGCCTGTGTCCCAGCTGATTCCTCTGCAGAGGATGTCCTAGCCCTGCCGCTTGCCCTTGCCTCCCCACCCAGAATGCTCAGTTCAGGAGCTGGCCCCTCAGGAAGACCTCCCTTCTCTGGCCTTTTCCCACTGCTCGTCCCCATCCTGCCCATCCTGAGTGGAACCCCTTCCTGCGTCTCCCTGGCCATATCTACGCCTGTGGGCTTGCCCCGCTGTTATATTTATCTCGTTTATGTGTCTGTTTCCCCTGGATCAGCCTAAGAACTTAAGGGCCAGGATTGTGATTTAACTGCCTTTATCACGCTCACCATCCCGCATGGCTCCTGGCACATAATAGATGCTCAACAAATGTTTATTGAAAGAGTAGCTGAGTTGTCATGTGTCACTTAGCTCACAGTTTCTGGTATCATGGTTATTTGTGTATGTGATCACCTCTGAGAATATTGTAAAATCTTTGAGGCCAAAGACCATTTCTCACTTACCCGAATCCTCCCAACAGCATCCAAGGCTTACAGAAAGCCCTCAGCTATGTTCATGCTGAATGAGTGAAACAACAGGTGGGCGAGAGCCTTGGCCTAATCCCCAAAGTTGGCAGGAACGGCACAGCCAGCCGGCCTTGCCTGGCCCTGCGTTCCCATCACCCTGGAGTGGCCAGGACCCAGCTGCAGAGGGGAGGCCCTCACCCCCCAAATTCCTCTCGCCCACTCAGTAACAGGAAGGAACTGCGATGAAGGACGCTGGCCCCTCTTCTGCCAGCTGAGGACAAGAATGGGGGGGGGGGTGTTGAATGTGTGGTATATACACAAAAGTATGTACCATGCATATGCAATGCAAAGAACAGTAATAAATTCCTATGTACCCAGCACCAGGTCAGTGAGGAGAATATTCCAATTACCTTAGAAGCTCATGTTCCCCTCCCTGACACATTCCCCCAAAGGAAACAGCATCCTGAATTTAGTGGAAGTCCTCTCCTCACTTTTCTTTATGTGTATACCCCTAAACAATATTGCTTAGATTGCCTGTTTTTAAATTTTCTCCATTGGACTCAGACTTAATATAGTCTTCCATGTCTTGTTTCATGGGGTCATCATTGTACAGGTTTTAAAGATTTCTTCATACTAATGAGTAGAGCTGTAATTTGGTCAAATTTTTTTTCTTGTATAGTATTCCGTTCTGTGAAAATGCTGCAATTTAATATCCATCCTAGTGTTCATGGACATGTGGGTTGCTACCAGCTTGGGGCTACTCGAAAACATTAGATGTCTTCTGGTTTGTGTGTGCAAGAATGGAAG